ATTTTATTTTTAAAAAAAATATTTAATTAAATAAAAATATTATTTTTTTATACTTTTATTTATCTAAACAAAATTAATATCAATAATTTTCATCCTTTCATTTCTTTATATTCTCATTTCTTCTTCCTTTCCTTTCTTGCCTTCCCCTCCTCTTCGGCTCTTCCTTTCTTTTTTTTTTTTTTTAAATTAATTTTTATCAGAATAAACTCTAAAAAAAACAGAGTCTGATATTATTTTTTTTCCATTATTGTATTTCGACTTAACTAATGTAGTCACCCGCAAGTTAGATAAAAAAGAAAAAACTATTATAGTATCTAGCACTTTTTCTTGATTAAAAAAAAAAAAGAAAAGAAAACGTAGCACTCTTCCCTTATATTTTTCACTTTTTATTATTATTTTTTTATTTTTTAAATTTTCTCTATCCATGTCCTCGGGGAAATTGCTTTTATGGAAGTACGCCCCGACCCGAAAATAAAAACAAATAAATCTCCCGCAAACAGGCAGTCAAGAGACCGAAGCCAGAAAGCGAGTGCTCTCATTCCTTTGCGCCCAACCACCCCAAACCCTAGTACAACCTCTCCTCCGCTCTCCACCTCCCGAACTCTCTCGAACCTTCTTTGATCTCTCAATTCCGCCCTCCCACACTCCCCGCTCCCACTCCAATTCCACCAATTCAACCTCCTATACTTCCATTCAAGCTTTGCTTTGAATCCCCGTCGCGTTCTGCAATTCACTGGTCGAACTCGCTACCTTTGGTTTTTCGGGTTTCATGATACTGAAGAAATGTTGATTTGAAATGTTCCCTAATCAGGGGTTTCTGTTTGGGGATTGTTTGTGTAGGTTTGCTGCTGCTGAAGCTGTGGAGAGGATCGAGTTGCAGAGGGGAAAAGAGGGTTTGAATTTTAGCACTTGGCTTTTGTGATCTGAAGTAGAAACAACAGGAACTTTGCTATCCATGTTAGAGGTATTGTTCTTTCTTTATTTTCCTTAGTTGATTTTAACCCTAAACATCCATAGGGTTATAAAATTTGCATTGATTTTAACAGTTCTATTTTCATTTTGTTGCATGAAGGCACATATTTAAGGATAACTGATGTTATAGAATTGAGATAACAAAATTTTAAGGCCAAAGTCCCGAGGAGGAATTTTGCGGGAAAAGGAGAGATGAAAAGAAAAATTATGGCAAGTTAATCGAAAATGTAGATTAGTATTTTTGGTGGCGCATGTTGTCCAGAATATCATAGCGTGTTGAGAGAACATACTTTATATGTCATTTGATTGATATGATTTAGCTCTGGGACCTTTATTTAGTACTTTCCACTTTATTATCTCTTTACCATCTCTGCTTTGCTCATTCCTATTCCAAACTTCTGTGATATGGTAATTCCAGCAACGGTCTTCTTCCTATCTCTCATTTGCATTTTTGCCAAGAAACAAAAGAAGTGGAAAAGTTTTACTCAGTTGCTTCTTGATTTCATTTTTTTAGTTTTTATGGAAAAGAATGTAGTCTATAACTATAAGTTGGAATTTCTAGTCTCTGACTATATCTACTTTGCATCCTTTATACTTCTGTGCCATCCCTTCCCATCCAGTCATGCTCTTTCTATTTCTTAGGGAAGGCAGATGTTCCCTTCTGATCGTTCGTTGGGTGCAGTAATAAATCATTTGGTCAAGCTTAAAATGACTGACTGGGTGTTTTTTTTCGTGAACAACTTCATATCCTAATTGAAATGGGAGGGAAAGGTCAGACAAAATTATCAAAGATTGGGATTCCTTATTTCTAGTCAACGGCGTACAAATAGTTCCGCAATTTTGTCTAAATGATTGTTGAATCCTTGCTTTGGAATAAAACGGATTTTTAGTGGTACTATCTAACTCATTATCAGAGATCAATCCTGAACCTGATGGATCATTCCTTTTTCTGATATACAAAATTTGGGATTTCACTAAGTTGATTTTTAGGAAATCTCGAATCAGACCGTTTGTACTTCAACAAGGGAAGCATGGACCTCTTTGTTGGAAGAACTTTTCTTGCCTTGGTCCCAATTCAACACTAAACAAGTCCGAACTAGTTGAATGTCTTACTGATTTCAGTGTTTGATGATACTTTTTTAAATCAATCTTAATCCTATAAGGTTGAGTTACCTGGCTTTACTAGGATAAAAGCACTTAGATTCTGTAGGCAGCATATCTAATTGACTTGGGCCTTTATGACCTCTTTGCAACTTAGACAGCGAGACCATCAGATAATAGGATGACCAGTGACAAGGAATGTCCTGTAATACAAGTTTTTCTTCTAGGCAAAACTATTACCAAAATGATGGAATCTTAAATGCTTATGCATATTTTTGACCAAGTACAGTAGACCTAAAATGTTCTGTAAAACTTAGTTGTGCGGTGCCAGTTCAGCCTGCACTCTGCCAGTAGAAAAGATATAGAAAAAGATTTTTAGCTACCACTGAGGTATATGCTGGTCTTGTGGCTAGCACATGGTAGAAAAGGTCCTTTTATCCAATAAGAAAACATGTTAATGGTAACATATACACTCGGTTCATGTTTAACTGGCATAATATTTCTGTTACTTGCTCTTTTAATTACCATTGGTGAAGAATGAAGATATATATTTTTTTTGTTTATGGTTCTGATCATTTGCTCCTCACTGTCTGTCCATAAACTTGCAGTTGATGGTAGTGTGTTGCTTCAATAGACACTAACACATGGATCCTGAAGGCAAGAAGTTTGGAGGAGGTAATATATATAATGAGAACATTGGCATCTTGTTCTTTTATGGTTACTTTCCATTGAATTTATGTTCTTTATGTAGGAATTTTAGTTTACTAGACTAGTTATCCTTTAATCCCTTACGAAGCTTTCTTGTAAGCTTGCGCTTGCTATATTGTTAATCCCTATGTTCTTAGATGGCACTTATCTTTTGACTTCACTTGTTGGTATATGGAACAATTTTAAAAATTGTGTTACGAATATTATAGCTGGTTTATGTCTTGTTCAGGTAGGTTGAAGCTTCATTCATTGTGCTATGTAATCATCTGTCATCATTAAAGAGCTGCCTTGTTCATACTTCCCCACTTTTCCAATGCCTAATAGGCAAATTGCAAAATCTTTCTTACAAAGTGAGCATTTCCTTAAGGCCTTGAATTGATCTAAATAGACCATCCTTTAAAGGATGTTCGCTTCAAAATTTTCTCTTGCACAAGATATACATATACAGTTTATGTCTATCATTCCTATGTTGGTTAAAGTCTTTCATTTGTAAGAATAAAAGTGCTTTGTTTATAATTTCAAGGATAAACGGTTATTTTTTGAGATGTATACAATATGAATAAGGATAAATGATTCTGAATGATAAAAGTAAAAAATTTTATGCGTGTTCAAAATCTCTACAACTATGAAAATAAAAAAAAATAAAAAAGAAAAGAAACTGATGATAATGCCTTCCTTTGCTTGGGTGCTTTAATTGACATATGTCAGATGCTTGTAATTTTGTGTAAAGTTGTTTGGGTTTAAGGTTTATATGTACCTGTTATGTAAATTGATAAGATACTGTTTCATCTGAACATTAGGACCTAGGGAACTTACCGGTGCTGTTGATCTTATAAGTCACTTCAAGTTGTTGCCTCACCATGAGTTCTTCTGCAAGAGACCTCTTCCTTTGTCAATTTCAGACACACATTATCTCCATAATGTGGTAGGTGAAACAGAAATCAGGAAAGGAGAAGGGATGCAATTGGACCAGCTTCTTCAGAATACATCATGTGCTAATACCCGTATACAGCCTTTTGATCTAGATGTTCTCAGAGAAGCTTTCCAGTTGAGGGAAACTGGTCCTGTTGATCTGCCTCCTGTAAGAATTCTGCTGTTTTGAAGTAAACTTTATTTTGTTGCTTCAATTTAGTTTCTTATGCTGACTGAACATTCCTAGTACCACCACTGTATGGTATAATTGGTAGATTGTGAATTTTGATGGCCACATTGCTTAATTTTCGTATCAGCATTTTTATCCAGTCTATATATTCCATTTTGGTCAAGTTCTATACTTTTCTGTTTTTTTTTTTTTAAAAAAAATCTTCCATAGGGAGAGAAAGGGATTCCTACAATTGCTGGGAAATCAAAAGGCGAATCCAAAGATAAGGAGAAGAAGCACAAAAAGCATAAAGACAGAGATAAGGACAAGGAAAAAGAGCATAAGAAGCACAAACATCGTCATAAAGATAAAGATCGAAGTAAAGACAAAGACAAGGAAAAGAAGAAGGACAAAGAAGTGGGAGCTGACCACTCAAAGAAGCACCATGAAAAGGTTTGCTGTTGTTATGTTCTTGCTGCCCTTTCTTGATAACTTAGTCAGCCCTAGGAAAATTGTAATGATTTTAAATGCCTAGTCAGCCTGGTAATGATTTGCAGTGTACTGTATTAAGGCAACACCTTTCCTTTTTAAGCAGTTGACACCTTCTCTCAGCCAATGATTTACTTATTCATAGGGGGGTGTGGGGATTTGAACTTCAAACCTCTGACAATCTCCGTCTATCCTTGGCGAAACCCCCAAATCCACCCCTCAAATAGGAGGGCAGGGATAGATTCACCCCTTAAAAAAATGCAGGGACAAATTGCCCCACCAAATTATAAATCAAGACAAATCACTCATTTTTTAACATGTGATGTCAACTTTCCGTTAAAAAATGCAACTTTCCGTTAAAAAATGCTTATGTGGCAAACAGAACTGTCTTGATTTATAATCTGGAGGGGCAATTTGTCTCTGCATTTTTTTGAGGGATGGATCTGTCCCTGCCCCTTATTTGAGGGGTGGATTTGGGGGTTTTGCCTCTATCCTTTTACAATCAGACCAAGGCCTTGTGACTGTTCTCTTTTTTAATTATTGTGTATAAATGTGTCTGCTGATGGCAGTGAAACAAGCCTACTTTTGTTCATGTATGTGTCCAAATTTAGCATGCCTTGAATCTCAAGAAAATTATGCTGAGATAGTCCTTTTCTCTTAACTTTTAACGAAGTCCTAAATAAAAGTCTTTTAATTTTAACAATTGCAGAAAAGGAAGCATGATGGAGATGAAGATCTTAATGATGTTCACAGACACAAAAAAAGTAAGGTAATACAGGTCATCATGGATTTGGCCCCCCTTTTTTTTAATGTTGTGGATTATTCAATCTTTGGCTCTTCTATAGATTGCATGATGGTGCCACCATCTAATCTTCTAAATTCTTTTTCTTCCTTATCCAATTAAGTTATGTGCTTATATTGTGGCAGCATAAAAGCTCAAAAATTGATGAAGTCGGTGCAATAAAAGTAGTAGGATGAAATGTTGGCATTCTACGGTTCATTTGTTGTAGAGAGTTAGGGGGGATTCAATTTAAGTTGCCAAAATTGCTTGAGGTAAAATCCCTTATCTTGTATGATTTTAATTTTCAAACTTCTTTTTCTCATGGCCTCTCAAGAAAGCACTGCTAACTGAGAGTTTAGTGAAACAAGAATTCAGACTCTCCTTTTAGAATAATATCCTTTTCCTACCTATCTGATCAAACACTCAGTCATTTCTCCCATTCAGATAAGTGCAACGAAGGGATGCTTGTGAACTCTAATAGACAATTCTGTAACAAAAATTGTCTGGGAATGTTCATTATTTTATAGTTTGAAGGATTTTTTTTATTGGTAAACTCTGCAAAAGTTTACAAATCTAGTTTTTTTGGGGTAAGATTTTAAAGAGTGGAGAGTTTGATGTTCAAATGCGGTTGTATGATCAAAGTAGTATTCTCTCATTTTCCCTTGTCTACATGTATATAATCAATAAATTTGTTCTCATCATCATGGGGCAGCATTATGGATTATCAATATCTGCAGATGTGATGCTCATATTGTCATAATGAATCCAAGACAATTGCTAACATTTCTTTTTATTTTTGTTTTGAGCAGAGTAGCTTGTAAAATGATCAAGGATGTAGAGAAGATGGAAATCCACCCATTGGTGGATATTTTGTTCAAGGTAAAAGTCACTGAAAATGAACTTCTTTGTATGATAACATTTGGGCTAATATAATTGCCAGTAGCATAAAAAACGTTGATGTTTCCTTTTTTAATCATTTTCGTAGTTTTTTTAGCTCATTGGCAGACTCCACCTGTACACAGTTTGTAGTGTCTTTTAGAAGTCCAAAGCCTAATTCTGAAATCACTTGGAACCCAACACTCTGCAACTTTTAATGGTAGAAAGAATGGGAAGAGATGGGATTTCTTGAATTATTTCCATTTGTTCCCTTGACATCTAATGATTTACGAGAGTTGTGAGGCACGGATTATCCGATGAATCATGAAATCCTAATCCCAAGCTTTCTTCCTAAGATGTTCTCTTTGTACATAGAATGAAAGACAAGTTATCGCTCATCATATTGAGCTAAATTTTTGCTGGCAAGAGATTCATTTGCTCGTTTATGTTAATTCT